CCAGGTGTGGGCCAGATGGTCTCATAACGCCCCTTGCAGAAAGCGCCCCCCGGCACGGAGGGCAGGTGCTCACCTGCAGAAGATGACACGGGGTCCTCGGATGGAGCCTGGGGGACAGGCACCTGGGATGGTCGTGCGTTTATGCACCTGGTCGGTCAGGTGTTCAGTGGGTGTCCCTGTGCACTGTTCTGGCGGGGGGTGGGCAGGAACCGATGGAACCCTGGTTGTCATGTTGGTTACCGCCTAGCAGGTGGGAAGGAAGATTTAACTTTCTCAGGCTCTTCCCAGTGAAGCCAGAGCTGTCAGAAGTCCTGGCCCTGGGTCCCCCAGTCTAGGCTGCAGTGTCCTCGGTGCCGGAGGGCAGGTCTCAGACAAGGATTTGATGTGAAAGACTAGCTCCCCTATCTTTCCTTTTTTCCCCCTTAATTTTCACCGAGGTTATTTTTCCATTGATTTTTAGGGAGAGTGAAAAAGAGAGGGAGAGACAAAGAGAAACATCGATGTGAGAGAAACACATTGATTGGTTGCCTCCTGCATGAGCCCCGACCAGGGCCCGGGACAGGGAGGAGCCTGCAACCGAGGTTTGTACCCTTGACGGGAATCGAACCCGGGACCCTTCGGTCCACAGGCCAGCGCTCTACCCACGGAGCCACCCAGGCCAGGCTCCCCTGCCTTTCCTTTGGTTCTGCAGGAGTTCCTGGCAGCACTGAGAGCACTGGTCGCCCATTCCTGATGGGCCATCACATCGACACTATGAAGCAAGGTGACCAGGGGAACAAAGGAAACTGACGCCTTCATTCCACGTCAGACTCGGGCTTCTTTCCAACATCCTCCTTTAAGGCACCAACTGTTTTATCAGCAAGTGGCCCTTGGTTCAGCTTTTACCTCTCATTGCCTTTGGGGCACGAGTAGCATTTGTTAGAAAAGAGGGTTCTATCTTTTCACCTCAAAGGCCTTTCTCCTGAAGCCAGAGCTGCACCCCCACAATGGGTTTCAAACAGGACCCCGATAGTTCTTAGAAAGGTTCCAGTCCAGCTCTTTCCTCACAAAGCAAGGGGACGGGGTGATGGGCCGGTGCGATGGGCAGAAGCTGGGGGGCAGGGAGGGGCTTCCGTGCTGTGTTGGGGGCGGGGAGGGAGACAGGATGCCTGGAGGAAGGAGGAACTAGAGCTCTGTCATCCCTACTTTGGGGAGACTGTGGCATGAAGTGGGGAGCATGGGTTGTAGAATCAGACTGCACTGGTGTAAATCCGGGCTCAACTATTGGCTAGCTGTGCGCTGGAGACGGTCACCGGGCATGTGACCAGAGGCGGTGCAGGCGAGTGCGCAGCACCACACACAACAGCTGCTCACTCGGTAAGAGCAGCTATAGATCTGCTGTTGGCTTTGTTCTCTCCCCCTCACCTCTGAGCAGCCCCAGCCCAGGCA